AGTAGGAGGGAACTTGGCGCCACCATTTTGGTTCCACAGAGACGGAGGGGGGGGGGCAGGGAACTTTTACAACAGCAGCAATTTTCCCCCGCCCACGCGCCCTTGGAGGGGGTCCCCACAGCCAAAAAAAAAAAAAGAAGCAAGGAACGGGGGGCACACACCCGGGCTGCCGCCTTTCCTTGTTCCCTTTGGTTTTGCCCCATTTCCGGGTTTTCCGTTGGGATTTCCGGGGGGGACTTGCCCCTTTTGCCCACCAGTTCGCCGACGGGGGTAATCCTGGGGGGCCTCCAAACCTTTACGGTTTTGGACAGGCCGCTGGAGGAGAGCAAGCAGAGGGGGGGGGGTTACGCGACAAGGCAAAAAAAATCACGGGGACCGGGGGTGTGCATGTTGTGTATTTCAAAAGAAAACAAGGGGGGTTTCACACGCACAGGAACTTTTCAGGGGGGGGGGGGGGGGGCTATGCTACGGAGACCCCAATAGAGGGAATGTGCATGCTACAGTATGTACCACGAAAGAAACAATGGAGGGGTCACACGCGCAGGAACATCTCAGGAAGGGTATGCTCTTGGGAACAACCAACACGCCTGCCAGTTTGAAACCGACGGACCACTGCTGTTCCTGACGCTCCGCCTGCAATGCTCCGTGCTACTGTACGCTGCCAACTGAGCGTGCCATGCCGGTCTGTTGAAACGTGCTGGGGCAGTTTCAAAACGCCGCCGGCAAAACCGACCGTGAACAAAAGAGGGTGACATCCTAGAAGAAACGCTAGAACCAACGGGGTGGGCAATTCCAAGGGTGGCACCGTTGACCAAGATCAAAATAGTGTACTCGTTGTGTGTTTCCCGAGGGAGGCCACGGCGACCCAACGGTTCATGAGAGAGAACATGCCACCGAGAAAAAGGGGACACCGGACGCTAGCACACAACATTTCACAACAAGACTATTGCCGCCGATGGGATCAGTAATCACATCTCCCGTGTGTAGCGAAGGCCTGGCACGAGCGGGCGTGGTCTCGCGAGACAATCGAAGGGAGCACTTGCACCAATCACGGACTGACCAAACACCAAAAAAAAAAACGATCGAATCCCACAAGCCAGGGAGCGCGACAACATCAAAACTGAGGCCCGAGGAACACCAAACCAAAAGGCAAAAGAGTCGGCTACGGACGACGTCAGCCACCGGACAGACAGCCTGCCAACCCAAAAAACGCAGCGCGATGGCACAGCCAGCCCTACGGGAGAACAAGACAACCGACCCACCGCAGCAGGGCCCCCTGCACGCGAAAGAGCATCTCAAGACCACCGCCACAGCAGTGGTGCGGGGGTGCACTCTGGACCAACCTGGTGGCAAGGGCCGGCAGGTAGGGGTGTGGTTCCAGGCAGTTCACGGCTCCGACTTTGTCACCGAACAGCAGCATCTCCAGCTTTGCCGAGCTCTTGCGGGATAATGTTGTCGTCGTCGTCGTCGTCGTGAAAAAAACGGTCCCCAGACGAAAAAAACGGCCCCGATTTATTTTTTCGCCAGACGAAACGTGCACCAGTAGTTGGTTGTTCGATCGTTTCGCGTTTGGCGTGCGAGGCGAGGGCCGCCGCGGCAGAGCAGCAAAGGGATGGGAGGCGCGAAAACAAACGGTACGGTTTATGGGTAGGGTTTCAGGGCTAGGGCTGTAAGGTTTAAGGGTTAAGGAGCTGTCCACAACGGTACAAGTACTCCGATCGAAAACCAAACCTGTCCATGTCTGCACCTCACCACGACGATAACGACACGCGCCCTATAGACAAACGATTATCGAGGGTGGCACGCGCGCACAGACGCGCCTGGGAGCGAGAGGCAGAGTTGCCGGACGCCAGCGTTACGAGTGAATGCGTGTTAAGGGCAAAACAAACGCTAGTCCGCCAAAAACCAAGCGTGACGGGGTGTTGCGGAGTGGTTGGTGTGTTCGGGCCGGCGGAGCGGAGTCGCCTGCTACGCATTCGCCAGGTCGTAGTCTTTCAAACGAGGATCGCGGTTTTCAAGTGCTTCTTTGTCTATGTTGGGCGGGGGCCAATGGATGCACGCCCAACGGAAACATGTCGGCGTTCGTGCCGTTTAAGATGGGCTGTGGTGTCATTCCGCGTAGCGCGTGGTGTAAATGACGCGTACTCTGCTGCGGTACAGTCTCCGCTAACCTGCAGGTCAACTGACAACACGACCAAATCCTTGGAGGCGTCGGGGAAAAAGGCACTTGTTTGGCCTTCGATCACGGACTACCGTGTGAGTTCATCCTGTAGGAAGCCAGAAAGGGGATGTAAACCAAGCCAAACTGAGAAAAAAAAAACGATCATTGCCATGCGGAAATACACATTGACCTCGGCGAAACGGCAACGCCAACAACCGTCGATAGCTGTTCTTTCGATTCCACATCGTCGATTCTTTTGACTATTCCCGCCACTAACTCGGAGGATGTTTCACCCGACCTGTCTAGACGCACCTTGTTCCAGAAGAAGATGTGGCCACAGTCTGACCCGCTCACGACGAACTCACTACGAGGACCGTAGAATGTCACCTACGTTGTGGGAGACACAGAGGGAGGGAGGGAGGGAGGGAGGGAGAGACGGGGTGTCAGAGACGGGGAGAGAGAGAGGGGGAGAGAGAGGGGGGGGGGGGGGGGGGGGAAAAAAACCCAAAAAAAAAAAAAAAAAAAAAAGGGCCAAGAGAGAGAGGAAAAAAGGGGGGGGACAAAATTTGGGGCAACCCCCCCAACGGAACCGAACG